AAGATACGGGTTTAAGAGCACTTATTTATTTCATAAAAGGCTGAAGAGTCTAAGGAGAAATATTACTTCCGATAGATGCAACCTTCCAAATGAACCACATTATATCTACTAACACATTTTAAGGAATCAATGTTTTAACTATTAAGGATATTTAAATCCTAGGTTTAGAAAGTGACTGTTTAGGACAAATGAGTCATCGATTGGTACAAGTCACATAAAGTACTATTTATATACAGTGAACTAAAATGAAAAGGTGGAAAGAGGGGAAGCTTAAAAGAGGCTTGAACTAATCTACCTGCTTAAATATCCTTTGAAAGCAAATCAGACTGAGAAGATTGTATAGATTATATTCTAAACTAAAATCCTTTAAAAATGCTTATTCTGATTTAAAAGAGTAAATTCTGTGCATATAATGTTTTAAATTGACATTATAAATCCATAAAATCCCACTCAAATTTTATCAAGATGGAAGCTGTTAAATATTTATGAATTTTTTGTTTTTTTTAGAGTAATTGAAAATTTCTAAAATTGGAGTAGGAACAAAGAAATGCAAAATCAAAAGAAACTGATTTCTAGGTTCTAAGGTAAACTTGTCTAAAAAGTGAATATCTAAGTAATCTTGCTGGTAAAGTAATAAGGATTATTCTTAGTGTTCATTCAGAGTTTAAGAAAATGTGAAAGTTTTACATTGTCTATTTTTTCCATAACTTTAAAAGTCTTTTGGTAGGGTTACTTCCGTGTTCCATCAGTTAAAGATAAAGGCTATTATTTAACCTCTGTTTACTGAAGAAAATCCATGGCCATTTCCATTTATTGCTTTTTTTTCTTTACTGTGATTTGTTTCAAGCTTAGGAAAAATTGTATGTTAGAGTGAGTGCTAGGAAATTAAAAGGTCTAATTAGTGTTAAAAGCCCTTTTCAAAGTTTTAACAAATTTTTTCACTACAAAGAAAATAAACAAATGAAGTATTCTTAAGCTGAAATGTATTCGATTAACTTTATTTTACTGTAAATTAGATTGTGGGGGGCAGCCTCCATTTTTGTGTATGTGTGTATTATTATTATTATTATTATTATTATTATTATTATTATTTAAAGATTTTTATTGGGGAACTGGGGGATGGGAACAGCGCTGGGGAATTGAGGGAAGGGGAACAGACAAGTTGCTGTCTTTTTGTTCTTCAGTCTAG